TATTGGAGTTTATCATTTAAAAAAAAAAAGTGAAATATGTCCGTTACAAAAACAAATGGACCTATTAACTCCATGTTGGCACCCAAAAAATAATTCCTGTAATTATTTACTCACCCTCTACTTACTTCAAAACATTTTGGAGTTTCTTTCCTCTTATAAACACACACACAAAAAAGTAGTAAAAGTATGTTGATAACCAGTAGCCGCTGACTTTAAAAAAAAAAAAAAAGAATATTATGGATGTCAATGGCTACTGGTTTCCAACATTCTTCAAAATATCTTCAATTGTGTTCAACAGTATAAAGATATTCAGTGTATTGTCTGAGTAAATGGAGAGTGTGCTAACCTGTACGGTTCAACGCTAAACTCGCTGAACTCCAGATTCAGTATGAAGGTTGAGTTGTCTTCCTCTAGAGTACGAGCGCTTATCCTCGTAAGTAGGTCAGCTGTACCTCCTGCAGGAACGGAGGCTGAAGAGGCTTTATTTTAGGTTGTAGCTCCTGAAGGAGTCCATTTATCAAAAGCTTTACGCACCGGCCGCTAGAGACTGAGCTAGCTAGACTGTGTTGCCTACATAAAGTAAAAGGCTTCTCTTATGTTTTCCGCTTACCGAGTACAGGTGCGATAAGGGGAAAATAATGGTCGAGCAGAGAATTGCTCTGATTATTCCTGTGTTTTAGCTGGAATCTCTGGTGAGTTTGTTTCTGTGCGTTAATTTAAGAGCAATGAGCGTTAACTGACTGACTGCTGAGAAGGGAATGGCCTGTATTGTAATACACTTTGAGCTTAGGGTTTGTTTACATTAAGATTGAATACAAAAAAACGCAATTCTTGCTTTAATGATTCAAAGCATGTTATTATATATTTGTTACTAGTGCTGCACAATATATTGTTTCCGCATCGATATCGCAGTTTGATCGTTTGCACAATATATTGTTTCCGCATCGATATCGCAGTTTGATCGTTGCAAGTTTTTTTTTTTTTTGAAGCCTGTGACTGTGTGAGAGTTTAAAACACATTCAGGCATTAGAAATTGTACCGTTTGTAACTTTGAAAAATTAATAACAATTAATTTTGTTGATTTGTTTATAAAATGAAGACTATGCAATATTATTTTACATTTAGTTAATTACTGTATCCCTGAAAACATTTCGACTATTGTGAAAAAAAATAAACCGTTTATTAAATTAGCATATTTTTCTGTATTGAATTTATCTGTGTAAATAGGTTATTATAGGTTGTTTATTATATTTTATGCAAATGCACTAAATCATCTCAATCAATCTAAAATTATAGATTTTTTACATTTTATGCAACTCATCTAGTGAAATTGTATTTACATCACAATATATATATATATATATATATATATATATATATATATATATATATATATATATATATATATATATATATATATATATATATATATATTAATTAAAGCATCATATTTCAAAACATTGCTAGCATTTGTAGCATGTTGGGATGTTAAAATTAGCATGTTAGCAGGATGCTAAGACGAGATTGATGACCCCTGCTTTAGAACATTGTTAGCATGTAGTTAGCATTTTAACATGTTTCAAATAAGCTACTATAAAATTGGTAGCATGTTTTTAAACTTCGCCGTCATATTTTAACACATTTCAACATTAATATTTTGTTAAAGCTATGTAAATAGTAATGTTTTAGACATTTAAAAGCCCTGGCTTACTTTTAAAACATAACCACCAGTGATTCAGTGCTAAAATGTTTTTAACATGGCTAGCAGGTTGAAAAACATTAGGATGTTTTGACACGTTGTTTACATGCTTGTTCAGCCCATTTGTCATGCTAGCCAAAAATGAGAGTCACTTTCAATTATTTCATGATTGTCAACTGAAGTAAAGGTGTGAAAATATTTGTTTGCAACAAAAGAATGCTAGCTATGAAACTAGCATTAGCAAGACAAAGGAGGCTGGTATTTCATTCAGAAATGTTTTGAATGTCTTTTCCACCACATACTGTTAGCAAATACATACTTTGAGAACTGCCAAACTACCATCATATAAATTTTTCTCAATAACATACCATGACCGAATCTCTTTTTTTCTTCTTTTTTTTTCACCTTCGAAATGTGTATCTGTTTTTCCATCTGTCCCGGGGCTTTACTAATTTTCTGCCAAAGTTTGTGAACACTCGCTCATTCACCCTATCCGTCATGTTCGTCTCTCTCCTGTGCATGGATGTTTCTAATCCCTGTTTGCATCTGAAACTCTGCAGTTCTCTTTTGGTTTGTGGCACATCTCTAAATGTTTGAGTTTTAGTTTTGCTTCCTTTTATGAAATGCACAGCTTACAGTGATTTGTTCGCATCGCATACATATTTATCGAACAGTTGATACCTGGAAACAGCACAATGTCATTGCTTAATTTGCGCATGTTTGTGAGAACGAATGCCAGAAGTAATGCGATTAACCACATGGGTTTCCTGCCAAAATTTTAATATAATGATAACCGACATGTGATTTTTGATCTAATTTGGTACGCCAAGTGGTTTTCATCCTTAAGTATGCATTTATTGGCAGGCTTTACTAGATTTGATTTAAAGAGATAGTTCACCCAAAATGCAAATTCTGTTATCATTTACTCTGCCTCGACTTGTTCCAAACCAGTTTCTCTCATCACAAAAGAAGAAATTTTGAAGAAGTAAGACTCCCATAGAATTTTTTTTCCTTACTATATGGATATTAATGAAAACCGGTTGCCAAAAATCTCCAGAAAATCTTCTTTTGTCTTTGAACGAAAAAACAAACTCATAAAGGCTTGGAATTTAGAGTAAATTTGCCTCTGAGTGAACTGTCACTTTAATAAACAGCGACTCTAATTTCTCTTTGAGAAAACTACAAATATTTTTCACAAGTGTTTTCTCAAAAGCTTAATGTAAATGTAGTCTCAACTTTTTCAAGTCATTTTAATTGAGAGCCCATGTTGGAGACCATATGTAACACTGGCAGAGTAGATAATGTTAACAGTGTTCAACTAAATACAGAGTATTTCAACAAAATAAAATTGTAAAAATGTTAAAATTCTTTATATAATATAACTGCAGTTAGGTCTGTCACAATAATCAATATGTCAGCTTATCACACAACACATAGACATGACCTCGATCATTTCCAATGATGCAATACACACTAACTGGCTACTTTATTAGGTATTCCTTACCAGGTTAGACTTCCTTTTGCCTTCAGAACTGCCAAAATTCTTTGTGGCATTGATTCAACAAGGTACTGGAAAATTCCTCCGACATGTTGGTCCATATTGCCATGATAGCATCACACAGTTGATGCAGATCTGTCGGCTGCACATCCATGATGTGAATCTCCCATTCCACCACCTCCCAAAGGGGCTCTGTTGGATTGAGGCCTGGTGTCTGTGGAGGCCAATTGAGTACACTGAACTCATTGTCATGTTCAAGAAACTAGTCTCAGCACTTTATGAGAAGAGGCGTTATCCTGCTGGAAGTAGCCATCAGAAAATGGGTATGCTGTGATCATAAAGGGATGGATGTGATCTGCAACAATACTCCGCTAGGCTGTGGCGTTAAGATGATGTTCAGTTGGTACTAATGGGCTCAAAGTTTGGCAAGAAAATATCCCCCACACCATTACACCACCACCACCAGCCTGTACCATTGATGCATGGCAGGATGGATCCATGCTTTTATGTTGTTGATGCCAAATTCTAACCCTACCATCCGAATGTTGCTGCAGAAATCAAGACTCCTCAGACCAGACAATGTTTTTCCAATCTTCTATTGTCTAGTTTTGGTGAGTCTGTGCAAATTGTAGCCTCAGTTTCCTGTTCTTAGCTGACTGGAGTGGCCTCCGGTGTGGTCTTCTGCTGCTGTAGCCCATCTGCTCACTGAATATTTTCCCTTTTTATGACCATTCTTTGTAATCCCTAGATATGGTTGTGCATGAAAATTCCCGTGAATCATCAGTTTCTGAAATACTTGAGACCAGCCCGTCTGGCACAAACAAACATGCTAGCTCAAAGTAACTTAAATCAGCTTTTTCCCCATTTTGATGCTCAGTTTGAACTGCAGCAGATCGTCTTGACCATGCCTACATGCATTGAGTTGCTGCCATGTGATTGGCTAATTAGAAATTTGCCTTAACCTCGGTGCAATAGCCTAGTGGTTAGCGCGTAGACATATGATGCAGTAGCACTTTAGGGTGTCTCAAGAGCAAAACCCGGCTCGAGGACATTTCCCTTCCCTAACCCCTCTCTCTCCCACTTCGCTTCCTGTCTGAAATACTGTCCTATCCACTTAATAAAGGCAAAAAGGCCAAAAATAAATCTTTTTAAAAAAGAAAAGAAATTTGCCTTAACTTGCAATTGTACCTAATAAAGTGGCCACTGTACATACATAATTAGTTCTAGCAACATTTAGCTGATTGTGCAACATCTCCATCTATATTTAAGTGTCAAAGTCAGTATGGTTAAAAACACTAGTATTTACTATAAATTACTATAGTATATTTTTATGTGGGTTTTTGAAAACTGGAAATAGATCTGGTAGCAGATATTGCAGTCTCTGTTACATTTTATCTTGCACTTTTTTTGTTAATATTTATTATTATTTATTTAGGATATGCGCTTTTACATTCTGATTCCAATGATTTATTGTTAAAATAACTATAATTTAAATAATCTTATGAATAAAACGTGTTCTTTGGAAGAGTGTAGTTGCATTGTGATGCTGTTATATTGTCATTCTGGCATTATATAATGAGTAATTTTGTTTATTGCAGTATGTTTTGCTATATATGCAAAGTGCTATATATTGTACAACAAAAGAAAAAAAAAAGATATCGTGACAGACCTAACAGCAGTATACAAGTTCTCGCCATGAAAATAGCCATAGAGGCTGACATGACGTTAAACAAACAATCAAATAATGTTTCTAACATGACGTTTATATTAGTTTTGTGTACTCATACATTGTCTCTGTCTCAGGATGGTGGACGTCGGAGGCCAGAGATCAGAGCGCAGGAAGTGGATTCACTGCTTTGAGAACGTCACATCTATCATGTTCCTGGTTGCCTTGAGCGAATACGACCAGGTCCTTGTGGAATCTGACAACGAGGTTATTATTATTATAGACTAATAATTGATTACAATAGAACAGCAAATCAGCATGTAAGAATGATTTCTGAAGGATTGTGTGACGTTGAAGACGCTGGAAATTCAAGTTTGACAAAAAGCAACCAAAAAATTTGAATAGTAGAGATGCTCCAATTAGGGTTTTTGCAGCCGATCCCAAGTACCAATTCTTCGTCATAGTGATCGGCCGATACAGAGTACTGATTCTGATGCTTCATAATGCAATAAGCACATTTTCTCTCCAAGTGTGATACTTAAGTAGAGATCTCGCCTTACCTAAGAGAATTATTAAGGATGTTGCATATAATCCCTTTAACAGGTCTATTATAACAAAGACCATCACTCATGCAAGTCACGCCAAAAGACGGGTCACACCGCATCTGTATATATTTTAGCTGTTGTGACGCGAGCACATAAACTGCTAATGCCTCCACACATCGTGTACCTCCTCACGTGTTGTGACTGTGCAAGCTTCCTCTGCTTGTAAACTAATAAACAAACCCCTGCAGTCGGTTGATGCCGATCGATCGGAGCATCCCTAGTGAATAGTAATAATATTTAACAATATTAATGATGTTATTGCATTTATTGTTTTGTAAATGTGTTTTTTTCCAACTATTTGAGCACTATCACATATGTAGTGAGTCAAATTAGTGTTTTAGTTATACGTGTATTGTGTGTGTAACAAAGATACTAAATATAAACATTTGAATAAATATACTTTATTATTTTAATAACTATAATAACAAATCATATTTTATTATTATTATTATTGTTACTATTATTATATCTTTTTATTAACACAACATATAAAGAAGGAATATAATTAAATGTATGTTTGTAAATAAATGTATTATAACCATTACTATTATTCTTATTATTATTAATAATATCATAGACTAATAATTGATCACAATAGAATAAAACATCAGCAAGTAAGGATTGTGTGATGCTGAAGATGCTGAAAATTTAGGTTTAACAAAAAATGTAAATGGTAATAATATTTAACAATTTTAATGATGTTGTTGCATTTTTTATTTTGTAAATATGTATGTTTCCAAATATTTGAGCACTATCACATGTAGTATGAGTCGAATTAATATTTTAGTTGTATGTATATTGTGTGTGTGTGTGTGTGTGTGTGTGTGTGTGTGTGTGTGTGTGTGTGTGTAAAACAAAGATACTAATAATAAACATTTTAATAATACTACTTTATTATTTATTATTATTATTATATTTTTATTAATTTTATTATTTTTATTATTTATTATAACTATTGCTGTTATTATTATTATTATTATTAAAGACTAATTATTGATCACAATAAAACAGCAAATCAGCATGTATTGATTGCATGATGCTGAAGTTGCTGAAAATTCAGGTTTGACAAAAGACTACAACCAAAAAGAATTAAAATAGTAATAATATTTAAAAAATATTAATGATGTTATTGCATTTGTTTTGTAAATGTGCATGTTTCCAACTATTTGAGCACTATCACATATGTAGTATGAGTCAAATAAGTGTTTTAGTTATGTGTATTGTGTGTGTAACAAAGATACTAAAAATAGCCATTTTAATAATAATACTTTAATATTTTAATAACTATAATAACAAATCATAATTTAGCATTATTATTATATTTTTTATTAACACAACATATAAACAAGGAATACAATGAATTAAAAGTATGTTTGTAAATAAATTTATTATAACCATTATTATTATTATTATTATTATCAATATTATTATAGAATAATAATTGATCACAATAGAACAGCAAATAAGCAAGTAATTATTGTGTGATGCTGAAGATGCTGAAAATTTAGGTTTGGAAAAAAAAAAGGTAAAAAGTGAAAATATTTAACAATATTAACGATGTTGCAGTTTTTATTTTGTAAATATGTATGTTTCCAGCAATTTGAGCACTATCACATATGTAGTATGAGTCAAATTAGTATTTTATTTATATGTATATTTTGTGTGTGTGTCTTTGTAACAAAGATACTAATAATAAATTAATAATAGTACTTTATATTTTAGTTATAATAACAAATTATCATTTATTATTATTATTATTATTATTATTATTATTATTATTATTATATTACCACAACATATAAACAAGAAATATTATGAATTAAATGTGTTTCTAAATTAATTGTATTACAATTAACAATTTATATATTTAATTATTTTATTACAATTACTTTATTATTATTATTAGTATTATTTTAATTAGTTCGAATAATTTATTGCCATAAATATGAAAATCTCTAAATGCAGTACAAATCATTTTTATTCATATCTAAAAAAAATTGTGCGTAAATCAAACTATATTTTTTGTTTTATTTGATATACATTTTGCTAATTTTATTTTATTTTTTCAACCAGTTACTTAATTACACTATCCTAAAAATGATAACGGTGTGAGTATGTTAGGAAATTTTAATGGATTTAAATTTGTTCAATAATTTTATATTCCAGTCAGTTTTATTATGATGCGTTTGTTTGTTTTTGAAACTTGCAGAATCGCATGGAGGAAAGCAAAGCGCTGTTTCGCACAATCATCACCTACCCCTGGTTCCAGAACTCCTCCGTCATTCTGTTCCTCAACAAGAAGGACCTTCTAGAGGAGAAGATCCTGTGCTCTCACCTGGTGGACTATTTCCCTGAATTTGATGGTAAAAGCCTTTAAACAAAGCCTACACTGACATCTTGTGGATAACTAGAGAACTCCATCCACTTCTCAGCCTCTCCGGGCTTCAGTCAAAATGTTTGCTTGTTTTCCTTCAGGTCCACAAAATGACGCCCAGTCAGCCCGAGAGTTTATCCTGAAGATGTTCGTGGACCTGAACCCGGACAGCGACAAGATCATCTACTCGCACTTCACCTGTGCCACAGACACCGAAAACATCCGCTTCGTCTTCGCAGCGGTCAAGGACACCATCCTGCAGCACAACCTAAAAGAGTACAACCTAGTGTGAAACAGAGAGCGATTAAAAAAGAAAACAGCGAGACACCTGCAGCCCGAAAGCACTACACACCTCACATGCAGAAACACCTTCACCCTCATTAGGCACTGGATCTCCACTTAGTCCTTTTCTTTGCCTGTTTTTTTTCCTCCCGTCCTGGTTGTCGACCCCTCCAGTTGATAGCTTTATCATCTACTCTTCCTCCAACAACGAAGGCTGTGCTGCCAAACCGGTGCCTAATGACAAAAGAGCACTTGTTTGCTCTGTAGACGGGCTGCAGGTGGGCTCTACCTGGTACGAACTTGACGAAAAGTCTTTGGTGTTCGTCCGTAACCAAGACTTGGGCGACATTCGCGAAGGACTTCACCTCCAATCACTGAATATAACCAAGTGTTAGTCGTGCGATCACATGCTTTAACACTAGAGGTGGAGGTGATGATTGATTTAATACTATTTTAGGAGTGATTTCCCATCACTACTTGAGTACTTGGAGAATACCTGTTGTTGTTTTTTTCTTCTGTAAAATGAGGAACGAGTTACGAAAGTGGTCACAGTGTAATTTCAGTCCCCGAAAACACCCAGTTCGCTTTGTATCTGCTAAATTTATCATTTAGGGAGCGAACTGTTTCCCACATTTGCCAGTATTGGGTGTTTAATCGAGTCTAATTAAAGGGATCCAGCTAGTATTCAAAGATTTAGTAGTGGAAGATTGTGATTTGTTTACATGGTTCGTCACAAATCGGTTTTTGAATCTGAAGGAATCAAATAAAACGCCTTTCCCAGTTGATTCGTTCGATATCCAGTGATTTGTAGACATGTTCGTTTTTGTTTTTTTAACGCAGTACAACACAAAAGTGCTATATACGGTGATTTTTATTTATGTAATTTATGGACCAGATGTGTAATTAATCGGACTCCTTTTTTTCCGCGTGAGTGCACTACAACGAAAGCGGCAACCGAGTCCCTACTGCTGTAAAAAAATAAATCCATTGGCAAGTGATCTCTTTGGTATTTCGTAAATTGATTGTCGCCATTTTTTGTTTCTTGAAAACGGGAAGTTGAATTTCCGTTTCATAGACGTCGCTTTATGCAAATAGGAAATTGAGAATTTTATCAGTGGTTGAATTCTTGACTGGTCTCTGCTTGCGTTGTTTTTTTGAGAGCGCGCTCTCTGTTTCGTAGTACCATATCTTAGTTCTCGCTTCATATTTGGCTTTTTTAGATTCTGTAGCTATAGCTGGCTTTTTTTGGGGGGGTGGGGAGGGAGTAGTTACGGTGTAATTCAGGTGAGTTTTCATACTTTTCATTACAAGGGCTAATTGTGGGTGTTGAATGAAAGGACTCTATGAAGACTATAGAGCAATAGGTACGCAGAAGTGGGGATGTGAATCAGGGATGGCGCCGGTAACGCCATGGGAGTTGCCATTTTTCCGTAGGTTCAGCTTGCAGTGCATCCAGGGAGCCCCTTTTGTAAAGCCTTCAGAAAAAGTATGCAATTTCTTGCAGCAATTTTACATTGCTTCCGTAAGCTGAGGGATTAAATATAAACGATTTACTGAATGGCGTTGGTGTCGCTGATTTCTTTGCTCTGTTTGCTTTTGGGGGCCTTAGAAGTGTTGCCTTTTAGTTCCGTAAGAATGCAATTCCTTGCCACAACTTTGTTGACTCCGTCATCTGGGGGATAAAGGATTGTGTTTTACTCTGGAGGTGTTGCGCATTGTTCTCAATGTTTGTTTTTGGGGACTATGATGGTAACGTTTTTGAGTCCCACAAGAACCCATTTTTTTACCGCAACTTAGATTCTGTAACCCGAGGGATATCGTATAAACATTATACTCTGTGGCGATGGTTTCAGACATTTATATTTGGTAGTGGGAGCTATGACATTATCATGTTTAAGTCCCGCAAAAACAAAATTTCTTTCTGGGTGTTTTGATTCTGTAAGCTGTGGGATAAACAAATGAACGTTTAGCCAGTGATTATGTCGCACATTTTTTTGCGATGGTATTTCTAATTAGCCTCACAAGTATGGAACATCTTGCCACAACATTAGATGGGTTTCAATTCTACATGGTGAGGGATGAAGCATTAACAATTTGCCCTGACTTTAGTGGCGCACTTTTTTGCGATAGCTTTGGGGGTCTTGATGGTGTTGTTTTTGTTGAGTCCCACAATTATGCTACATCTCAGCGCTACTTCACATGAGTTGTTTCGATTCTGTAAGCTAAGGTATGAAGTATTAGCATTTTACTTTGTCGCTCATTTTTCAACGGTTTCGTTTTAGGGTCCGTGACGGTATCACGTTTGAGTCCCAGTTTACACATTTAACGTACACCTTTTTAGCCCATCGGCTATGCATTTATCGCACACTAGCACTCATACAGTCTTATTGGCTTTGTTGTTTCTGTTATCGAAACAAAATGGCTGCAAATTGAAACGATTTCAAATCGAACGATCGCTTATTGTTGCATTTCATTCGAATGTATTTTTGAAGGTTCATGATGAATTGCGTTGTTTTGTACTTTATACACACATTTTCACCCAATCACAGCTGTATATTTGCTGATTTCACTATTCCTCAGCAATCTTTAGTGCATTTTATGACTTGTTTGCCAAATTGCGAAACTTCAGTTCGATCCCCCCGTGCCAGGCCAGTTAAGCTGATTTTTACTATTTTTTTTTTTCCACTCAAAATTTGCATACCGTCATGCTAGTGGGCGTGGCTTAACTCTCCATTTTAAAGTGTATGTTTACTTGGGTGGAAAGGTACTGTCAGTTGTCATATGCCAGAATTTCAAAGGTTTCCTTGTATGCATAGCAGACTTGCAAATTATGACGCCGTTTCTGAACATGTGAAGCTTGTAAATATGGCTTTCGTTTTAAAGGGCTAGGCCTAATCTGAGAAACGCTTTGTTTTATTAGTTTTTAACACTAAAGTCACTCTTTTTTGCGAACATTAAAATCAAATTGCGTTATAAAGCACTGCGTTCAAGGGTCATTCTTAACAAGTTTTCCTCCCTGGGTTAGTTAATGCACTGAAACTACTCGGCAGTAATGGAGCTAACTCCGCTGGTGTGACCTATCTGTTCCTCCAAACTTGTTCCTGGTACTCGAGATGAGAGATGCAGACACTAATGAATAGAAATGACGCTTTGGCTTGACGTGATGGATGCGTACAATATGAAGCTATCTTTACTTTCTTTTTTTCGGATGTTGATGCATTACCTGAACACTTGTATGTAGGACACTTTAATATAATACATTTGTTTTTGATAAAGATAATTTTTTTGTGTAGTGGTGTATAAAATCAAAGTATTGTATTACTTTGTAATGTATTTCTTGTTCAGTTGGTTGCTCTTTTTTTTTTCTTTTTTTTTAAGCATACCAAATGTAAATGATGTACTATATTGAGTGTGCCAATCCCTTTGATTTGTAGAGCCAGACTCTTTACAAGTGCCAATGTTGTGGAAATCATTTAAAAAAACAAAACAAAACAAAAAAAGGACTTGTGTATTTTATGGTCCGGTTTTTAAAAACAAATAAACATTAAGTATGTGATTATGGTAAACACGCAACAGGAAGAGGACAATTTTATTCTGTATTTAGGATTAAAGATTACAAACTGCTGTTTTTAAGAGAAATGACATTTTAATTGCATGTGTTTGTTTTCGGTGGAGAGGGTCGGGAAAAGAAATCGTATTAACGCGCAACCCTGCTGACAAAGGGGCTTAATTATTGTTCATTTACAGTATTTTAGACATATTTCTCTTTTTGTATGTTTCATTTCAACCACTGTTGCCTGAACCTCATTCATACATGAAAATGACTTTCATAGCCTTCTCCTTTAAAGAAAAAAATATCCATTTTAAATTGGAATAAAATTTGTTCCTATACCTTTGGGTCTGTCTTGAACCTTTGTCTGTCTTAAGTTGCCTCACAGATATATTATCTGGCTTTATTATACAGAATCACATAATGATGTTTTATCCTCATGTTAGATCATGCATACATAAAGACCGTGCGCGTGCGTGTGTGTGTGTGTGTGTGTGTGTGCGCATATAGGTTGAATATATGATTTTGATCTAAGTATATGTCTGATTAACAATTATGTAGAGCAAAGACATTTACGTATGAAAAAAAACTTATTGGAATACTGTATAATAACTTAATTATGAATTATTTATATAGTATATTTACTAAAGTTTTGTTGTAAGAAAAATATAATGTAAACTAAAACAAGCAACAACTTAAGATATGAGGTATAAAATATTTTGTCAAGCAAAAATATTAAAAGAAAATGGAAATACAGTACATTATCATTATATATATATATATATATATATATATATATATATATATATATATATATATATATATATATATAAATAGAGAATCTAATTATTCTGAATATATGACAAAAATAATATGCATGCGCATATATATATATATATATGTATGTGTATATATATATATATATATATATATATATATATATATATATATATATATATATATATATATGGGGTGCATAATATATTGTTATAAATAGTGAAACGATATATTGTGCAGCCCTAAATATATATATAGCAATAGTCACATCACAAAATTTCAAGAGATTTCAAGTTCATTTAAGCCATTTGGATTCAAAAGATTATAACATTCCCTGCTATAACAATTATATGAGATTCAATTGATTTGACTTTGTTTATAAATAGAAGGAAATTTATATAAATTATATAACATTGAAGAAAAATATATAAAGTATGTATTTATAAAAAGAAGACACTGTTATAATTTCATTATTCAATTTCTATATCTATATATCTATCTCTCTCTCTCTCTCTCTCTCTCTCTCTCTCTCTCTCTCTCTCTCTCTCTATATATATATATATATATATATATATATATATATATATATATATATATATATATATATATATATGCTATGCATATATATATATTTTTAGGTACACCTTTCAAACTGCTCAACGCAAATTTCTAATCAGCCAGTCACATGGCAGCAACTCAGTCCATTTAGCCATGTAGACATGGTCAAGACAATCTGCTGCAGTTTAAACGGCATCAGAATGGGGAAGAAAAGTGATTTAAGTGACTTTGAACGTGGCATGGTTGTTGGTGAAAGACGGGCTGGTCTGAGTATTACAGAAACTGCTGATCTCCTTTCATTTTCACACACAACCATCTCTAGGGTTTACAGAGAATGGTCCAAAAAACAAAACATCCAGTGAGTGGCACTTCTGTGAGCGCAAATGCCTTGTTGATGCCAGAGGTCAGAGGAGAATGGCCAGACTGGTTCCAGCTGATAGAAAGGCAACAGTAACTCAAATAACCACTCAACACAACTGAAGTATGCAAAAGAGCAACTCTGAACAAACAACATGTCCAACCTTGAGGCAGACAGCAGCAGAAGATCACGCCGGGTGCCACTTCAGTCAGCTATGAACAGGAAACAGGCTACAATTCACAGTCTCAAAATTGGACAATAGAAGATTGGGAAAATGTTGCCTGATCTGATGAGTCTTGATTTCTGCTGCAACATTCGAATGGTAGGGTCAGAATTTGTCGTTAACAACATGAAAGCATGGATCCATCCTGACTTGTATCAATGGTTCAGGCTGGTGGTGGTGTAATGGTGTGGGGGATATTTTCTTTGCACACTTTGGGCCCATTACTACCAATTGAGCATTGTGTCAATGCCACAGCCTACCTGAGTATTGTTGCTGACCATTTTTCATCCTTTTTAGACCGTTTTCAACAGTTAACTGTTATAATTATCTTCTGATGGCTACTTCCAGCAGGATAACACGCCATATTATAAAGAGGGAATCATCTCAAACTTGCTTCTTGAACATGACAATGAGTTCACTGTACTCAAATGGCCTCCACAGTCACCAGATCTCAATCAAATAGAGCACCTTTGGGATGGGGTGAAACGGGAGATTCGCACAGGGATGTGCAGCCAACAAATTTGCAGCAACTATATATATATATATATATATATATATATATATATATATATATATATATATATATAATGCTTTTGTTGTGTAATATTTTACAGATTTATTTCTTTTTGAATATTTTCGGTGATCTATTTTGAATTTATTTGTAAATATGTTAATTTTTTTAATATTAAACTTAACTTGTACAATTATTTACATTGATGTAGGTTCTGCTTTGCTAAAAATTAATAATTATGCTAATAAAACAATTATACCTGTATGATTAATTTAATATATTAACTGTATGAATACATTTTATTGTATTCGATGTTTACACAAAAAGTTAAATATATATATATAGCTTATTAAACACCAAAAAATATATAATAATAAACGAGAGAGAGGGAGGGAGGGAGAGAGAGAAAATAGCAACAGCAGCACAGCAGCCATCAGCTCCCAAACTCCAGTTCATCTCTCCCCCAGCCGCCGCTCGATCATTTCCTCCAACCAGAGAGCAGAGAAAGAGAGAGAGAGAAACACACACACCAGCCCTTCATCACAGCTCATTCCCAACCAGGAAAGCGAAGGAAAGACGCCACAGCAGATCCAGCAAATCCTCCCCTGCTTGTTTTTTTCTTCCATGGCGAAAGCGCGTTAAAGAGTGCGGCGCACATCAGCCTGCTTTATCGGCATCGCAGCGGCGCGGAGCTGCCTGTAGCTGCCGGAGGAGCTTCAGCTAACAAAGAAAAACACGAAAATAAACGTCTGCTGAGCAAACCGCTTCCCTGTTCCTTCACGACCACAAGGCAAGAGCCCGAAGACCAAAACTGACATGATGTTTCCACAATCCAGGCACTCGGTGAGTGGAAATCGAGCGGTTTGTGTTGGTGTTGTTTAGCTGGATCGAGCTTAGCATTGACAGGAGAGGAGGCATCCGTGTGTGCGCGTGTTGAAACTTATCGCTGAGGTGAAAGATTTAGCATTTTGTGATGCTTCTTGATTCCTAGAGCACACGTTTTATCTTGAAATCTACTGTTTTTTTTTTATTTTTGGCCGTGGATGAGTGTGTTTTTAAACGGGAACAGAGTGTGTGTTGTGTGCTTGGAGAGTGGTTGTGACATTTAACAGTTTTGTGTGGATTCTGTGCTAATGTATGCAAGTTTCGGTCATAAGCCTGCTAAATGTGGTGTGTTTTTAGTATCCATTTGGTTTGTTTGTACTTTTGCAGTGGTTTATTTATGTGTATTATGTTTAATGAGGTTTCATAGTATCACAAAGCATGTTTATGTTGACATTTCAGGATGTGATGGTGGATTTTGTATTAATTTATGCTAGTGAGGTAACGTTGGTTTGCATTCACACATTCAGACTTTCTCTTTAATAATATCAGTTCAAAAAAGGATTACTTGCTCATTTTAAACAGGGAAATCATATTCAAATCATCCAAAATTGTTCACAGTCAAATAAAAAGTGCTTATGTTGTTTTAAAGTCGTTTTCACATATGATTTCAGACTGAATATTCTAAGTACCATGGTAAACATTATAGGGAGCATGTAACAAGTTGTGTCTGAACAAATGTGCAAATATAAAACCAAATGTACTTAATATTTAAGCTAGTTTAATTACAATCCTCCTAAATGGTGTCTTTTTAAATATCCATTTAGCTTGGTTGTACTTGAAATTACGAGATACTGTCAGAAGTCTTGTTTATGTTGACATTTCAGTGACGCGTATCTACTGGAGGATTTTGTGTTTATATGTGGAACTTTCAGTCTAATTATGATCTGTTTGTTTATGTATTCATTTGTTAGGTTGTACTTTATGTTAGGCCATTTTGTTCTGCGAACTATGAAAATTGTGTTTACAGCCTGTCCGTGGGGTCTTAAAAAGTATTAGTTGTTAAATCAATGAAGAGAAATTTTAGGCTCTTAAAAAGTATTAAAGCCTTAAATACTATTTTGCAAGATATAACATTTTATATCACTTTTGATTAAGTAACGTATGGCTGCATGCTAAAATTAAATAAATTCTATGAAATCAATGAAATCCTGCTTGATTTAACATCATGTTGCTTTGTTTACTGCAGTAACCAAGGTAATACCATGATGTTTGCAGTTCTATAGGCACCAATCTGCTGGGTTAGCTAGATTTAATTGATTTTTATTCAGTATGTGAATAATGTTTTAGTTTTGGATTAGTTTCTTATATGAATATTTAGAAAATATACTGTAAGGTAAAATCTCACCAGTGTGTCCAGTTAAAACATGAAGTGGATAATAAGGTCTTAAAATGAATGCAAATGTCTTAAAAGGTAATGTATTTCACTCTCTAATACTCAGGTTCAACTGGCAAAATTCAAATATATTTTGAAGTATTCAGTCAGCGTCTGTGACATTTAAAGGTCCCATGATAATAAAATAAAGTTAGTTTTTTTTTAAAGATGTTATTGTCAGTATTATTTATTTTTAGGACATCTATAAGCTATTGTGCCCTAAAATGGTGATAAAATTCGCATTAAGAAGATATAAAACTTATATAAACAAGTAAAGCTAGTTCTAAAGCTTGTAGTTTGACACTTCCGCCCAAATGGAACAAAGTTTTTAATCACGTCACCTTGGGCTGGGCGATTTGGCCTAAAATCAAAATCTAAATTAAATGAACATTTTATCTTGATTACGATTAATGAAAGATTCATTTATTTATTTGATTAATTTATTTTTTTGCCCTCTTCATGTGGCCCACACTCGTCAGCGCTACTAAGCTGACCAATCACAGAGCTTGCGCTATACGTCATCATGATGTGTAGTTATATTTTTTTGAGAGGTCAGCATCCGCTCATTTGAGGGGTATGTGCAGGATTGGGCTTGACGCAAAAATGTAAACAGAGCTGGTGCAAATGACTCCACACATGGTAGGGAAAGTATTTGAAAAAATTTGACCTGGAAAAATTTGATCGATTATAGGTTGTAAACGTTGATTTCGATTACTTTTCAATTAATCGGCCAGCCCTAACGTCACTTCATACTTCACTTTATTATCACGTCATAACCAATCAAATGCTTTCTAGTGTCTTACATGCCCCACCCCCTTCAATAGGTTTGTCATTTGCTTTTTATTTGATGCGCTTGAGCTTAAAACACTCTCACTGGCAAACAGCTATTGGCAGTTTTTTTAGAAGGGGAGGAGCTACACTATGTCTCCAACCTTACATTGTGTTTTGGTGGAGATTAATGTTGTCAAACGCTGAATAAAAATGCATATTATAAAGCACCTCATGGGACCTTCAACATTTGGTGGAATTAGTCTTTTTTTATTCGTTTAGTTTTTATATACAACTTTGAGTCACAAATCTTAAATATTGTAAATGTTGGTGTTGTTTTTAGATATTAATTTTGTTAGGCTATACTTTCACACTAGTGTTCGTATTTGTGTTGATGTATTTCAGTGTCTGGCATTTAACAGTCAGGGGTGCACAATGTATGGGCAGCTATATTGATATCGGCAGTAGTATTGATATCGGCCGATAAATATAATTGTTTTGCTCTTATCCATCAGATAACAAAATTAGTCAGAATAAATTATGTATTATTTCAGCAAGTTGAAACGCATAACATGCTTGCTGTCTGCCAATGTAATTATTATTTTTGGGTAATATGTAGTAACTTGTAAATTTTCTTTGCCAGGCAGTAGATTTGAATCATTTAAAAGAATTTTGGCCATACAAAATAAAAGTTTATTTAATAAAGTTAAAACTTTTCTGAGGTTAAGGTTTTCAAATAAAATCAGTTATTCACTGTATGTGTTTACATTTTTTATGTTTTCGATTGTGAAGAAAAATGTAAAAATGTGTGCTTGTTTATTGGAAATTCTAAGCTATCGGCCTTCAAATCTAAATAGTTATCGGTAGGGCCAGACAGAATCTGGTCTTTGCTATTTCTTGCCAGAATTTTCTAAAAAATCTGCAGATTTTTGTGGAATGATTTTGGGTGTATCGTAACTAAAAACTTATTGTGTTAAATAAAAAATTATAAATTTTTAACTTTTATTCAATGTTTACAATGCAAATCCTAATAGATCCATTTATTTGATAAACAAAGCAAGTCTCTCATATAATATATCTACTACTTTACAAACTGTATTGCAAATAATTCATATAAACATTTTCATATACCTCAGAATATTAGGCCCACCCGGAATCTGCACGCGCAGATTTTTCACAGATTTTCCGCAGATTTCTGCAGACTTTTAGCCCATCATTAATTCTTTTTATTTACTCGAGTAAATGTGTGTAAATCTATATTTATTCAGTTTTAAATTAATTTCAGTAATGTTATTGACTAATGTAAAAATGTTCATCGGATTTATGTACAATGCATTTTGTACAGTAATATTTTCTGTCTTTTACTAAATATATTATATGACAAACTTGCTTTATTTACCAAATAAAGTGAATCATTTTAAACATTAAATAAAAGTTAAAAAGATATAATTTTTTATTTCATATATTAAGGTTTTAGTTATGATACTCCCAAAATAATTCCGCAGACTTTTACCAAAATTCTCAGCAGAAATAGCAAAAAACGTCCGCAGATTCAGCCTGGCCTTACTCATTACTCAATATTACACATTTGTACCTTAAAATCCACTATTTTGTATTTTGGCGGTGGATAAATGTTTGTAAATGAGAACAATGTGCATATTGTGTGCATGGTTGGTTGATTTTGTTAATTTTCTACAACTTTTGTTGCAAACCTCCTAAATATTTATTTCATATCCATTTTGTTTGGCCGTCAGTGTATGAAATGAACAGATTTTCACTCTACCAAAATTCATCGTTATGTTGAGATCCTGATGAACTCCTCATTTTGCCAGTAGTTGAAACGCAGTGCCAAAATCCATGTGTTAACTGACGCTACAATCAATTTTTGAATAATATATTTTCTCTCTCTCTTTTTTTAAGTAAGAACAGTACGAGTTTTGCCAAGAACTCCAGGTGTAAATCTGTAATGACATGCATTTGCATTGTGCAAGATGTATCCCTGCAGCAAATCGGAGGTGTGTGTTTCACGCTTGATCTTTTAGCCAAAGTGGAGAGTCGCTGAATTGTCGCTGCTTGTATATGGAGATTTTCGTTTTAATCAGGCTAACTAACCTTGGTGAGTTTGCAAAATGCCTACATTGGTTCATGTGCGATAACTCCTCTCATGTTGAGTTTCTTGCAGGCTGTTACTGATTAATGAGCTAATATGACAGATATTTTGATTAGCCACTCTTGATTAAAACTGTACATCTGGAAATGGAAGGGAACTTGATGGTGATAGTGGGGAACACGATTTGGCTTGCTTTATAACACTTTTTTCTCTTGATTCATTGGGATATGTAACCTATTTTACAGTAATAATTAGGGCTGCACGATATTGGAAAAATTTGACATTGCAATTTTGTTTTCCTGTGATATATATTGTGATATGAATATGATTTCAAAAGATGATTTGAATAGTTCTATTTGAGAAGAGTTCAGTAATTTAGTTTGATCAAGAGTGTTGATCAAGTTTTTTTCTATGCAGGGCATCTGCATAAAATGTAATAAATTACAATCATACGACTGAATTAAACAAATGAAAAGTGAAATAAACAGTGCTTTATTGTTATCTGTGGAGTAGACACTGTCAATCAAATGTAAAATAACATGGTCATCATTGTATAATTAATTTTATGCAATAATATAAAAATGAGGAAGGGCGTTCGCTGTGTAAAACATATGCTGGATAAGTTGACGGTTCATTCCTCTGTGGCGACCGCAGTTTTAAAAAGCTACTAAGCTGAAAAAAAAATTAATTAATTAATGAATTAATATA